TTTCTATATACATAAATATGATGTCAAATATATATATATATATATATATATATATATATACATATAATAACTTTTAATTTATTGGTTAAATTGTTGAAATTTAATATAAACTATCAGTTATTGAGAAAAGTAATTCTATTGAGAGTTATTGTTGAAATAAGCGGATCACTACCTTTATATATGCATGTGCACGCACATCTAATAGATGATAAGCAAGAGTAAGATTACCTTGAATCATTAACTGCTGCCGTAACCAAAACGGAAGGAAAGCAACTGCCTCGAGGAATGTTGTCATACGGAGAATAACTAAAAATAGAATCAAAATTTGACTGTATTTGAGGATTTCCAAATTCTTCATAATCCAAAATTGTGAGAGGCAGACTGGGATCCAACAATGTGTTGCATACATCAAGAAATGGTACCTCCAGAGGGGGGAAATTTAAAAATTAAAAATAAGATATTGTGAAAAAAGTGAGAAAGATAGATAATATTCCCTCTCATCTCAACTGTGAATAAAAAATTAGGGAAATTATTTAATTAAAAGTAAACATCACACTTTTTAGTTTTAGATTGATGCATTAAAAGCAAAGCAGAGATTATAAGCACAAATATACATGATAGATTTACATGACAGCCAAAGGCAAATAACATTTTACTTTATCAACATCTAAATACAAGTTTCACACAGAAAGGGAGAGAGAGACAGATATGGTAAGTAGTTTCAAGGAGCTATATAACATATTTCAGAGAAACATTTGAAGGTAATTTTTCTCCAAGTCTCAAAGTTCTGCCTTTCTAGTTTCTACTAACCTTGTACAGAATAAGAATCTAATATACTATCTCTTTCGTTAAAGCCTTAAAGGTTTGAAAGTGACAATTGTACAGTCTCAAGAATTCTGACAAAAACATTGCAATAAACAAATTTAAGCCAAACAGTACAAACATGGTGCTAATTGAAGACCTTAAATTTTAAATATCAAAAGTATTTTCTCACTGCACACCATCTCCTAAAAGAAGAAAAGCTATTCTTCATATCAATGTCATAATCACAATTATATAAAACCTACTTTTAATATGGCAGCACGAAACTGTTGTGGGTACATATTCATAGCTGCACCAACAATAAGGCAGCCTGCGCTCCATCCAATAGCACCAAGCATATCACTCTGAACATAACCCTCATTAACCAGGTAATTGCCACAGTATACAAAGTCCAATATTGAATTGTGTTTGTTTAATCCACTCCCAGATTTATGCCATGAAGGACCACCACCACCACCACCCCTGGAGTAATACAGGTTTCCATGTACTTAAATTTAAAAACATATAGAAAATAATAAAACCATCCCATTCATCATGGTCAACAGGGGCCAGGGCCATAACATGCAAAACTTGAATGCGTATCATAAAACTTGTATGCAAGACAGAACTGAAGATATAAATGTCAAGTAACCAACCTTACATCAGCAAATGCCACTACCCAACCACGGTCCAGTAAACTCAGGCGATCTGAACACCAGCTTTTATCCAGATCTTCTCCATACGCTCCATAACCTACTAAGAGTCCTGGAGATTGACCCTTCTTCCACGATTCTCTAGAGTACACAATGGTTAGTGGAACCATTATACCGTCATAGGAAATAACTTCCTCCCTCTGACAACAGTATACTTGAGAAAAGTCCTTCCATCTTTGTGAATTAAAATTCGCAGCACACTCTTTCTTATCACTA